TATATATATATATATATATATATGGATGGGGGCGCTAATGAATTTTCGCACCTAACTTTTAATTCTTAATCTTTTTACCTCAATTTTCTTCTCACAGTCACAACACATAATTATAAAAAATTTTTACATGATTCAACCACTCATAGAGTACATTTTTTCAACAAAAAGATACCTTTATAAGTATAGGTTGATACAGGGTTTCCGCGCTTGAGTCAATTCTTAAGTTTTGAACCCATTAAAGGCCAGTCTTATAATTTTAATTGGAATTTTCCCATGAAACATCCAACAACAAAATGTGGCATCATGCAGTACCATCTTTTTGAACTTTCTTGTTGTAATCGAGGTTAATCGAACCGACGTTTATCATTGGCTTTATTAGTTGTTTTTCTGGATTTAGGCCCCTAGGCCCTATTTTTCGATCTGTGTACGCAATTGGATCATTACTAATTTTTGAAGTAATTATTGTACGTGTGAATTTCATGTGAACACACGTAGTCAAACAACAGCACCATACAATATGAAGAATGACATACAATATGGCAAATAGATAAGTTTTCATAAACATTTAATCAAAAAACTTCATGCTGCAAACTCAGACATTCTGGCAATTTCTTACTGATTGCAAAATGGCAGCCGCTCGTCGTGCTAGCCAACACAGATTCCCTGTACTTACTGTATTTGTGGGCTTATTTGTTGAAAAAGGTACTTTGTGAGTGGTTAAATCATGTGAACATGTTTGTTAATTATATGTTGTGACTGTTAGAAGAACATTGAGGTGAAAACTTTAAGAATTAAAAGTTCTGGCAATTCCTTAATGATTGCAAAATGGCAGCCGCTCGTCGTGCTAGTGAACACAGATTCGTTGTACTTATTTGTTGAAAAAGGTATTTTGTGAGTGGTTAAATCAGGTGAAAATGTTTGTTAATTATATTGTGAGTGTGAGAAGAACGTTGAGGTAAAAAAATTAAGAATTAAATGTTAGGTGCGAAAGTGCATTAGCGCCATGGATGGGTACAGTACGTGTTAGCATGTATTTGTATGAATTGCTTAATTTAAAGATCAGGAAAATTGATGAACTGATTCACCAGCAAAGCCTAGTCTGTTTTAGACTAACTAACCTTATTAACCAATTTTTGCTGTGCTCTGCCATGCTTGTGCCCCCATGTTGCCCTTATTATCCCAGTGTGATTTCAATTTAACATCAATTGACCAATATCATATAAATTTTAAATTGCTCTTCCTTGGCCTTGGATAATAGCTTAGATAGATTTAGTAACTAGTGAATTTTTGTTACATGTGGTATTTACTTTATCTTTAAAATGTGTTTTTTTTTTTATCTCCTTAGATTCCTGAATTTGATAACCTTTATTTTGATATGAATGGCATTGTTCATACATGTTCTCATCCAGACGATGGAAATGTTCATTTTAGAATCACAGAAGAAAAGATATTTAGTGACATATGCCATTACATTGAGGTACAGTGTTATAAAACTCCATACCGTACAATAAATGAACAGAGAAAAAATGTAGTGAAACACAGATTGATTAAAAAACCGAAACGGCCACACTTTTTGACCAGAACGGCAATAAGTCAAAACGGCAAGACCAAAACGATGCTAATTGTTTAATTATATGTCATAAAAGTAAAAATGCGAAAAAATAAACTAATTATGAACATGAAAGTGTACTACGATTAAATACGGTAAAAATTAGGCTAAATAGCAGCAGCAATAATATCATTAACAATAATACAGTAATAATAATACTAATAATAATAATAAAAATAGTCATACAAATTCAATATTAAAAAGATTGGGGGGGGGGGGAATATAAAGCAGTAAAACATAAGAAAAAATAAAACTTAAATACAGACAAAATGAGGCTAAACAATTTATGTCATAAAAATATAATAATAATAATAATAATAATAATAATAATAATTAATAATAATTGAAAGTGGGAAAATAGCCCATGGCAATATTCAATTGGCCTATCGGGACAATTTTAAAACGATTCAGAAAATTGTAACTGTTGCCTGCGCCCGCTGGCATTGATTTCACTCCTTTTCCTGGTCTATGCCATTTTAGTACTTGTCATTGCCGTTTTGGTTCATTGCCGTTTTGGTCATTGCCATTTTGGTTTATTGCCATTTGACCTGCTACCAAATCCTGTATGTGCTACTAAATTTATTACAATATGTAGTTACAGTACCTAGTGTGGCAGAATATTCTATTAATAAATAGACACATTTCTCGAGGTTTGTTTGCAGCCAGTCACGTGACATAATACTGGGTATTAGGGCCAACTCAGACAGCGTTGTAGGACACAGCTCAATGTGATTTGTTATCGCGTCGGGTTTGTGTGAGTTAAATGCAGACGCGATGGTTTGTGTCGGGCAGTTAGGTTGTAGAATATTAAACATGTTCAATAATTCTCACAATGGCTCAAGACTGTCCCTGACGTTTAATCTTGTCGGGCTGCGCCGTACGACGCTGTCTGAGTTGGCCTTTACTCTAGAGAATTTGTGTAAAAATGAAGATCAGTGTAAAAATATAGGAAAGGGTAATGTTATGGTTGCGAAGAACAACCGCCCACCATTGGGCGAGACTTTTTTATACCTTGTTTAGCAAACCCGCCGACTGCAAATATTGATGATTTCGAATAAAAATAAAATTTTATTTTTGGCCAATTGGTGCACCCGCCGCCACGAAAAAGTGTAAATTTCCGGAAAAAATAATAGTTAAAAAAAATTTTTTATTATGTGCTTTACAGCAGAAACACGTTTTCCTATTACTGAGCGTCACTCGCGCTGCCTGTTTACAATTGATATGCACTATACGTCACATGGCCAACCTATTACTGAGCGTCACTCGCGCTGCCTGTTTACAATTGATATGCACTATACGTCACATGGCCAACCTAGCGGTTTAAGTGCTTCTACTAGATTAAACTGTTTCATTCCTTAATAACTTAAAGTCAGGCTCTGGAGGAAAAATTTTTTTTATATGTTGTAGAACTGATTTTTCTAAGACAGAAAAAAGTTGTTTGACGAAGAACTGGGGAACAGTGAACGAGATACAGATTTTTGAATACTTAAAATAAAGGTGTAAAATTGGGCGGTTATGCCCCTTTCCCCCCAGTTTCAAAAATTTTTTTTCCTCTGGAGGCTTGACTTTAACGATCAGCCAAAGAGTACATATTCTTAAGCAGGAATCCTATAATATAATTCTATGATACAGTATTCTAGGCATGTGCGTTAACTCTATTGCTTGTTGGTGCATGTATGTGTGTCTGTGTACACTGTGTAGCTGTGTCTGTGTGTGTACTGTGTATGGCTGTGGTTCCCTGAAAACCAACAGATACTGTATGCACCATTTTATCAAGTCTCTTTTGAAACAGCACCACCAACGTTTAGCAACTTTTCACTGGGGGATGTCCACCAGCCTAGCTTGAGCAAATTTTGTTTATCCAGACATATCTTTTTTTGAGTACTTAACAACCAAAAAGGTTTTATGGACCTCTAGTTTTTTTTTTTTTGGCATTTTGTTTTCAAAGACTAGCCTAGGCCTCTACAACAGCAAGGTTGTGCACCAGTCACAGTAAACACTAGTAACTACGTAGAGCGAAATGCCTAGGCAGGCCTTTGGAAGTCCCCCAGTGGTACAGTAGTTGCAAAAATGGTGTAATTAACAATTACAATTTCATAAAAATCGCTACACGCTATCGCCGACTTCTTTGGCAATGCTGATTGGTCATTCGATTCAGGGAGCATTCCCGATTGCATCAGGGACAGCCATGCGGTGCAAGAATTGCAGTGAAAAACGTGTAGCGACTGTGTAACGATTGTATGGAGACCCAGCTCAACTCATCAGTCAAATAACGATTACCAACTGTCCGTCCTCTAGTTCCTGAACAACTTGTTACCAATCATAGCGCCAACCTTGTTCTTTTTCATTCATGCAATGTCCTACTGTAGTTAAATACATGTTTGCTTGCTTCACTATCATAGCTCCACTACATGTAAACAAAAATGACTTCATTTTAACCTACTTTCAAAACTGAGGGCGCAGTAGCCCAAAATCTTAAAAAAAGCCGCTACGCATAGTATACTACAGACCTTACCCAAGTGGTTTATTTAAAAATGTCTGTGTTAAGGTTTGCGTATTGTGTTTCAGGTGTTGTTCCGATTGATCAAACCAAGGAAGGTATTTTACATGGCTATTGATGGTTGTGCCCCTCGGGCTAAAATGAACCAACAGAGAGGACGCCGGTTTAGGTAATATAACATGAAGGGTTCTTAATTGATTATTTAATTAATTACAGTACAGGTGAAGTTGTATTTTTTTTTTTGAAGTATACTTAAAAATGGTAATCCTTTCAGTTAAGCATTGTAAGGTTACTCGCACCTTTTAGGCTGTCTTAAATCAACTTGAGTACATTTAACAAGTCCTGCACAATAAGTAATAAGATAATATAGCTTCTATCTTGTGCCAACTATCTATCAAGCTATTTTGAGATCCAGTGGCTCTTAATGAAAAAAAAAACAATGTGGTAAATTGTTTTTTATATTTTAAATGATTTGTTTCTTGTACACTACAATTAACTACATAAACAAATGCTGATTTTTAAATGCTACATTTTGAAGAAAGAGTGTATTGAAATTGCATTGAAGAGAGAATAACTGCAACATTTGAATTCATGTGGAAATCCTTAATTGTTTGACCATGTGACGCAAATACTTTGTAACTGATGGTTTTGAAGTACTGTAATAAGGAGCTTTTGTTTGATGATTGAAACCCTAGGTAAATTCTTATAACATAAGAAGTATTGAAATGTATGCAGGTGCCACATACACATAAGGTCTATTTTATATTCAATTCCTTATTGGCCACCATTGCCGTTTTTTTCCCAAGGTACTGCAGAAGTTGTATGGTACTTCCAACTAGTATACGAGCGTCAGCATTCTACTTTTTTTTCTTCAAAAAAGCTTATTTAAAAAAAAGTTATAACCACTATTCTATAGGACTGCAAAAGCATCGGAGGAACAAGAGAAGCAAGCTTTAGCAAAAGGAGAGAAATTACCGGATGAGAAGCGCTTTGACTCAAACTGCATCACACCAGGTACACCATTCATGGTGCGACTTCACAGTCATCTGCAGTATTTCATATCCCAAAAGGTCTCTTCTGACCCCCTTTGGCAGAATATTAGGATCTACTTGTCAGGCCATGAGGTTTGGTATTTTTTTATTCAAGATTTTATGTTTATTTAATTTATACTATATGTCAGTAATATTGGAAAAAAATATTTCCATATTTCATTCTAATTGTTCACTTTTTCTTGGAACTATGATGTATAATTATAAGTCAAAATTTGTTTGGTCATTTTTTTGATGTTTAACACTCTGACTGCCAGAGCTTTGAACAAATAGTATCAGCCACGGCCAGACTTTTTAGAAAATTTTAACACTTGCGAAAATCGTTGAGAGTGCGTATGTGATCAGATTAACATGTAGTGAATACTACAAGAACTACAAAGATTTTATCTCTACAATGGTACCAAACACTATATTCTAATCACAATCTGTGACCCGTAACAGTAAAATGAAAATGACTCACTTTTGGAGACTTTCGCAATTTCGCACAATGAAGCTGAGATAATCGCAATTTCGTGAAAGTAAATCAATACCGCTCTATGCTAATGTAAACAAACAAATAGTAAAATACTTGCGGTCCAGACTGAATAATAGTGTTAAAACTGTTAGTACATGTCAGTAATTACCCCATCTATTGGATTCCGTAAAAAAACCTGAAACACAGAGATTTCCGTGTTTGGCGGTCAAGCGTAGTGTTACCAAATGCAGAGATCTCCGTGTTTGACCGTGGATACAACTAGATACACGCATGCACAGTTCAAACCACGAATAGGCTTATTGTTGTATGAATATTAATATAAAATGGCATGATTAACAACTTCAATAATTTGGGTATTATCAATTTTAATAACTTTTTAGACCCCAGGTGAAGGAGAACACAAGATCATGGATTTTATTCGCAGCGAAAAAAGTGATCAAAATTATGATCCTAATACACGGCATTGTTTATATGGTCTAGATGCAGATTTGGTAAGTACTGTAGTCATAATAAATTCATATTTTACATTTTTCTGTTCTTTTAAATTTTAAAACTTTCAAATCTTTAAGTTGTATTTAACTCTCAGTGGTGGATTCAGGTGGGGCCCCGTAGGCCTGAGCCTCCAACATTTGTCAATATTATTTAAAAAATGGAAAATTATATTCCAATTTAAGTCTGAAAGTGCCAAATCTGGCCATCTAGAGGTGCCAGAATCATAAATTTTCTTATCTCAGCCCCAACCATGGTGGGGCTGAGGTGGTCTAGGTCTTCCATCTGTGAAAGTCTCTCCCTGGACCCCCTCTATTTTGAATTCCTAGATTTGCCACCGACTCTAATTTTCAAGCTTAATTTTTATCATGTCAGATATGTCTGCCGATGCCATAAAATCTCCCAAAAAGAATGTTGTATTTCTACCTCATTCAAATAAATATAATTAAGCATTAACTAATCTAATATTTTACAGTACTTTATTTCACAACATTGCATTATATATATGACCCTGCAACTAGATCTTAAGCAAGGGCCTAAATGAGGCCTACTACTAGGCTTTACATTTTTTATTTGTCAGTAAAATTGTTTTTAAATTTTTTTTTTTACCTAGGTGATTTTGGCAGAACTATAATGTATAGTTTTGTTTAACCATTATTATGTTGCCTTTGGTTTCTTACTATCAGATCTGTTCCTAAAATTTTTTTTTGTTACTTTTAAAGATTATGCTTGGCCTTATCACTCATGAGCCTCATTTCTCATTGTTACGAGAGGAAGTGCGGTTTGGTAAGCAGGCAGAAAAGAAGCGCCCAACATCAGCCGAAGAGACCACATTCCATCTACTGCATCTGTCTCTGCTTAGAGAGTATCTAGATGCTGAGTTTGAGCCTTTAAAGGTGAGGTCTATACATCATTTCATTCAACTTAATTTCAAAAAATCAAAATACAATTATGCAGGGCTTGCCCTAACTTTTTTTGGTAACTAGCCCACTGGGCTAGTTTACTAGAGATTTTACTAGCCCACAGAATATTTTACTAGCCCACAGACAGGACAAAATTTTGTTTCTAAATATTTATTAGCGACAATTAAATTTGAAGGTTGATTTGCAATTTCATAATTTCTGTAGCATTGCTGTTTGAGCTATCCTCTCAAAATATTGTTGAATAAATAAATAAAAAAAATCACCCATGCTGCAAAATCGACTCTGGTTATAACAGGGACAGATGAGTATGTCTTACATCTCCCTGGTTATAACTTTGGCTTTCTAATATTTAACAAAGGGCCCAGAAATCAATCAAACCAATGCATCTGTTAAATATTTAGGTCTCAAGTCACTCACCCCCAATGGCAATAAATCTTGATTAGGCTACCTAACCTAGGCAAGGCTAGGCTACATAGACCTAGACAAGACCTAGGCCTAGGGCCTAGGCTAGCCTAGCCTACCTATAGCATTGAAGTACTTATTATTAAAAGTTGAACATTTTCAAAATATCATTATGAGAAAATAATATGAATATAAGGTAGTACATTAAATTAAATGTTCTAACTACCGAAATTAACCAGATTGAACGATCAAACGATCTTCATATTGAGAGAAAGATAACGTGCCATCCTCCTGTAGTGGTTGGTGAATGACTTGGGGATCATCTTAATAATTAAACACTCACGCATGTGGAGAGCTGTAAGCTAGCTAGAGTGTACTCTCTGGGCTACGGTACCTCCTGTGCAGGGATTGTCTCGAAAGTTCCGCTTTTTTTCCTTTTTTTTTTTTTAAGAAAATGTTTTTTCTTGCTAATTCTCCACTAGACAACCGGGCAACATGAGGAGTAAATAGGCTAGCCCGGAGCGGTTTTTACTAGACATTGTACGCCGGGCTAGTACTAAATCGAGCCCTGTTATGAGATGATGATTTTTAATCCTTTCAATAAAAATATTAATTTAACAAGTTATTATTTGGAAATGTCTCTTAGGTACCAGCATCAGTGACCAAAAAGGAAAATTAAGTTTTAATATATTTATATTCTCCACATTATTATTAGCTTTAAAATGATGGGTCATTTGCTGCAATCAACTTACTAATTGCCAAAATTATTTGTAAAAGTATTACAGGTTCTCTGTACTAAAGTATACAATACTGCCACATTCTATGTTAATTATTCAGTTTAACATCTAGCGACAGTAAACTGGTTTTTGGATGGCAAGCCTCATATTGTAATCACACACAAAATTAATGCCATGTTTGTAGTCTAGGCTGTTCAACATGCATTCTCACTTGGTATCACTGCTAACATATTCCCTTTTAAATTCAATTTATAGAAATTTGAGTGGTATGATCTGGAGAATGTGATTGATGACTGGGTGTTCATGGGCTTCCTTGTTGGGAATGACTTTGTTCCACATTTGCCTGATTTGCATATTAACCATGATGCTTTGCCATTGCTTTTCAAATCTTACATGGAAGTTGGTTCCGATTTGAAGGGTCAGTACTCATTTTTTCCTGGTATCAGTACTTTCTTATTAGTAATTTTTTATCTGTCCAAATATATGTACTACAGTTATTTGGTGATGGAATTCAGTAACTACAGTGGGATTGGAAGGTCGCGAGTTGAATGGCAGAGCGGATAAAGCAGGGGCACCACAACCTCAGCTATAATATCAGCGCTGTTTCAAATGGCACACTCGCCTATGGTTCCGGAGATGAAACAAGTCTTCTCGGATAAGGGCTATAAACTGTAGGCCCAGTGTACAAAATTGGCTCATGTGCACTATAAAGAACCCAGTACATTTTTTGAGACGAGAGTAGGGGGTTACCCTGGTCCCTACAGCCCCTGTTGTGGACAGAAGAAAGTGGCTGGTGTCAGTTTATGAGGTAGCTCAGACACGAAGAGACCCTTAGTGGAGAAGAAAATTACTGTATAAGCTAACTGTAGTCCACACTTCTGATCTGCGCTCTGATCTTCATGAAGTAGCGCTATATAAATGCTGTTGTGAATGTATGTAGGTACTTCAATGGCTTATTAAATGCTGGTACTATAATGGGATTGGAATGTGGTGCTACGTTGGGTTTGGAATGTGGGTACTACAGTGGGATGTGAATGTGGGTACTACAGTGGGATGTGAATGTGGGTATCTGTACTACAGTGGGATGTGAATGTGGGTACTACAGTGGGATGTGAATGTGGGTACTACAGTGGGATGTGAATGTGGGTACTACAGTGGGATGTGAATGTGGGTACTACAGTGGGATGTGAATGTGGGTACTACAGTGGGATGTGAATGTGGGTACTACAGTGGGATGTGAATGTGGGTACTACAGTGGGATGTGAATGTGGGTACTACAGTGGGATGTGAATGTGGGTACTACAGTGGGATGTGAATGTGGGTACTACAGTGGGATGTGAATGTGGGTACTACAGTGGGATGTGAATGTGGGTACTACAGTGGGATGTGAATGTGGGTACTACAGTGGGATGTGAATGTGGGTACTACAGTGGGATGTGAATGTGGGTACTACAGTGGGATGTGAATGTGGGTACTACAGTGGGATGTGAATGTGGGTACTACAGTGGGATGTGAATGTGGGTACTACAGTGGGATGTGAATGTGGGTACTACAGTGGGATGTGAATGTGGGTACTACAGTGGGATGTGAATGTGGGTACTACAGTGGGATGTGAATGTGGGTACTACAGTGGGATGTGAATGTGGGTACTACAGTGGGATGTGAATGTGGGTACTACAGTGGGATGTGAATGTGGGTACTACAGTGGGATGTGAATGTGGGTACTACAGTGGGATGTGAATGTGGGTACTACAGTGGGATGTGAATGTGGGTACTACAGTGGGATGTGAATGTGGGTACTACAGTGGGATGTGAATGTGGGTACTACAGTGGGATGTGAATGTGGGTACTACAGTGGGATGTGAATGTGGGTACTACAGTGGGATGTGAATGTGGGTACTACAGTGGGATGTGAATGTGGGTACTACAGTGGGATGTGAATGTGGGTACTACAGTGGGATGTGAATGTGGGTACTACAGTGGGATGTGAATGTGGGTACTACAGTGGGATGTGAATGTGGGTACTACAGTGGGATGTGAATGTGGGTACTACAGTGGGATGTGAATGTGGGTACTACAGTGGGATGTGAATGTGGGTACTACAGTGGGATGTGAATGTGGGTACTACAGTGGGATGTGAATGTGGGTACTACAGTGGGATGTGAATGTGGGTACTACAGTGGGATGTGAATGTGGGTACTACAGTGGGATGTGAATGTGGGTACTACAGTGGGATGTGAATGTGGGTACTACAGTGGGATGTGAATGTGGGTACTACAGTGGGATGTGAATGTGGGTACTACAGTGGGATGTGAATGTGGGTACTACAGTGGGATGTGAATGTGGGTACTACAGTGGGATGTGAATGTGGGTACTACAGTGGGATGTGAATGTGGGTACTACAGTGGGATGTGAATGTGGGTACTACAGTGGGATGTGAATGTGGGTACTACAGTGGGATGTGAATGTGGGTACTACAGTGGGATGTGAATGTGGGTACTACAGTGGGATGTGAATGTGGGTACCTGTACTACAGTGGGATGTGAATGTGGGTACTACAGTGGGATGTGAATGTGGGTACTACAGTGGGATTGGAATGCTGGTACTTCTTTACATTGAGATTTGAATGTGGTTACTACAGTGGGAATGGAATGTAGGGATTGGAACGTAGGTATTACAGTAGGTTTGAAATGCTGGTGCTACAGTGGGATTGGAATGCTAGTACTTGCAGTGGGATTGGAATGTAGGTACGACAGAGGTATTTTATAATGTGGGTGCTCCAGTGGAATTGGAATGTTAGTGCTACAGTGGGATTAGAATGCTGGCAGTGGCGTAACGATGGGGCCGGGGCCCTGTGTATTTCTGAAACTGGGGGCTCTTTTTGGGTCCCGGTCACCAACTCCATCGTTTAACTTTAGATGTGCATTGTTATTCTAAAAGGTTTTAACGACGAATAAATGATATATGGATCCAGAAAATTGAGACCAGGGAGGGACTTTCACAGTTGAGTCTATACCACCTCAGGCCCACCATGAATGGGGCTGAAGTAAGAAAATTTATGAATATAGCACCTTTAGATGGCCGGAAATGGAACTTCACAGACATAAAATTGTGAATATAATTTTGTTGTTATCTCCAGTTAAAAAATATTTTGACAAATTTAGTGGTGCCCGGGCCGGCAGCTCTTCCCCCACCCCACTCACCCTTTATTTCGCCACTAGATATAGTATGATATGTTCTACAGTCGATTTCAGACACACACGTATCCTGTTGCCTGCACCCTTGTTGGGCTGAGATAAGAAAATATATTATGGCACGTCTTAATGGCCGGAAAAGGCACTCACACAGACTTAAAATTGTGAATATAGTTTTCTCTTTATCTCCATTTAAAATTTTTTTTTTTTCACAAATTTGGTGGGGTCCTCCTGGGCCGAGAGGGGGCCCCCGAATCGTTATAATATGATATATGCCCTACAGTCGATTTCAGACACATTATAATAATAATGATACATTTATATAGCGCATATTGCACATTGCCCCTATGCGCTTTACAGAGAAAAAATATAGGCCAACTGAGAAAATACAAATAACAATAAAATAATAACAATAAAAATAATAATCATAATAACAATAATAACAATGAGACTAAACTACTCCTATTCCTTAAACTAATTAATGGTTAGATTATAGTGTTATTTATCAACAAAGTCCTTTTTGGTCAGGGTGCTAGATCGAGGAACCTATGGGTAGGGCCCCTTCAGGGCACTAAGAATTCGGGGCCCTGCGGACTGCTGCATGAGTGCGAATAGGCATTACGCCACTGAATGCCGGTGCTACAGTGGGATTGAACAAAAAGTATCGTAATATTGTAAATATATAAAAAAAAGTTCCTGAAGCCCTGTCCAGATATCATTACTATGGCAAACTGCAGTTTTTAGTCAAAGAAAATTGTGTAATCTAGATAGGGCTTTAAAGGCCTGTTTATACTTCAGCGATAACGATAACGATAAAAAAACTAAAAAGCAATTGTTTATATAGAAAATAGAAGTTTGAAATTGAAGTTTTTACACTAGAACGATTCGATAACGATTTATCAGTTATGCGATAACTACATATTTTGACAAATCAAATCAGATGACGTCATAATCATGGAAAAACATTAAAATCGTAGTACTGTAGTAGCAACGATTTTATCGTTTTGATTTGATTTGTTAAAATATTTTGTTATCGTATACACGATAAATCGTTATCGAATCGTTCTAGTGTAAAAACTTATCTTATTTCTTTTGTTTTCTATATCAACAATCGCTTTATAGCTTTTTTATCGTTATCATTATCGTTGAAGTATAAACAGGCCTTAAGTCTGACTGTTAATTATTCAAATACCAAAGTTACAAACTGTATTAATCAGTTATCTTTTAGCTCTTTTGACAAACAAATATTATGGAACAATTAGCCCACAAGATATATTTACTCTGAAATATTATAGTTTTGAGTTTTATTAAATTTTTATTTTGACAGGGTTCATAAATGAGGGTGGCGAGTTGAATTTAGAGAGACTTGATATATACCTTCAGTATCTCTCCAAGGTAACACACAATCACCTCATTGATCCAATGTAATGTGTTTGTAATGTATTTAAATAGTGCCTTGCTATGTTCGTAGTATTTAGAGTAGTTCAGTGTCTGCCATAATAATGGTAATGGTCACATATTTGGTATCGTGCCTTTTCCATAGGATACAAAGTGGCCAGAATCAGAGATACTGTAAATGAACAGCAGTAATGTTGGTTGTTTTAAGTATCAACCAAAAAGAATTAATTCTTATGTACGCAATGAATGAAATCAATGCTGCTTCAGAACAGGTATTCCACCAACCGGCGTTGAGGCAGCGTCATTAAGTAGATACATGCAGATATCGAATGGAGTGTTTAATGTAACAGCTTCAGCCTCAGCCTAGTTCTTCAGGTCTACTGCCGTTAGACTGCAAAGAAACATCCTTACCAATGATTTACTTAACAAAAATGCATCTTAAACTAAGAAAGAGTATAATTTACTGTCTATCAATATTTCAGTTACATATATTTATATTTCAGTTTGATAGAGAAAATTTTGAGAACATATTTGTGGACTACAGCTTTTTAGAAAGTAAGAAGGGCAGTGAAGATGCATGGAAAAGTAAAAGAGTAGAAGAAAAGAAGAAAGTACTAAGAAAGGTAAACAACTTGCTTTACTTTTATGTATCTTGCTAACTACCAATCAGTGTATTATAAAAATAACTAAAATATAGATAAATATTGATTTCAAGTAAAAAGGAAGCTATGTTCACTGTTTAAAAAATTCTTTTCTTAGACTCCATTGAGCTTGGGGCTCTAAGAATATAATTGAATATTATAAGTTATTAGCTTTAATGAAAAGAATTGGACAGAGTTTGCAGTAGGTTTGCGGAGGTTTATAGGGTTTGCAGAAGATTTGCAATAGGTTTGCTAGAGGTTTACAGGGTTTATAGTATTTTACATGGTTTGTAGTAGGTTTGCAGGGTTTATAGGGTTTTTCATGGGTTTGTAGTAGGTTTGCTTAGGTTTACAAGGTTTGCAGGATGTTTGCAAAGATTTGCATGAGGTTTACAGGGCTTTCAAGTGTTTGTACTAGGTTTGCTGCTCAAGGTTTACAGGGTTTGCAGGAGGTGTGCATGGTTTCCAATTGTTTGCACTAGGTTTGCTGAGGTTTACAGAAGGTTTGCAGGGTGTACAGGGTTTTCATGGGTTTGTACTAGGTTTGCAGGTGGTTTGCAGTAGGTTTGCAATGTGTACAGGGTTTTTTTAAGTGTTTGCACTAGGTTTGCTGAGGTTTACAGTGGGTGCACAAGGGTTTGCAGGAGGTTTGTGAAGGTTGGCAGGATGTTTGCAGTGTGTTAGTTTAGAACTGCAAGCGGTCCGGCTCTTGGGGTTTTGTTGAAATGCAATTCTATCTCGAGGGCATTCTCGATTTGAATTCTAATAGGGTGCCCTCGGCCATGTCTCTTGGTAGTACTTTTCTAACGTTGCCTTGTGGGCAGTCGGACCACTTGCAATTCTATACTCTTTGGTAATACTTCATCTTCTGCTCCTTGGTGACAATTCCAAGTCCTGCATTTAATTCACATCTTACCAGGTACCAGTTTGTTGTTCTGGGTGAAAGAAACAATTATTGATAAATTGTCTTGTTCACCTGCACAAGGAGAGTAACCAGCATCAAGTTAATTGCAGCTGCATGTTTCCACAATAAACATTAAATTTGATAATCATTTTCAGAAGGAAAATGGGAATGCATTTGAACTGATTGCTGTTGAAAGAGCAGAAGCAGCTGCAGAAGTTGACTTCTTTGGAAAGGAGATTCCAAAGCCCCAAGTTGCAGAGGGTAAGTATGACAATTATACAATTTATTATGTTAAAAATCAATTGTGATCATTCCAACAGATGTATAATGCTTCAGCTTGTGTTCACACTTTTTCATGAGCTTGACATGAGCCTGGTGTAGCCTAACTCCAGTTGTGAACAAGTCGAGCGTTCATGCTAAGTGGGTTGGCAGTCAGTGCAAAAGAAATAAAAATTGACCAGAAGTTAAAGCACCTTCATCGTACCCAAGGATCTGAACAAGTTATTTTAACATACTTATATGAATAACATATCAACTGATCATAAGGGGTCATTTATTATTTTTATAAAATTTACAAGATTACAAAACATACTCTTTTCTGTTACCCCGCCTTCACAATACTCTTTACTGTTACCCCCTCCTTCACCCTGAAAATGACCAACGCAGCAACAGAATGATGATTTTTGTCATTTTGGGATCATCATTTTTTCTTTTCATAAAAGAGTACATAAAGCCTACTGTATACTTTCAACCTATTTTCGCAATAAAGTGTAATAAGCACTGCTCTTAAAAATAACAAAAGCCGCCAAAATTATTTGAGTGCAGCATTGCTTATTAGAACATTATTGCGGTATTGCAGTTCATTGTTGTTGCTCTAGAAAATTATTGTGAAACACAATTGGTGAATTACTTTTTAGAGTATTACCCTTCTTGATTTTTTTTCATAGATGGTGCCGAAAATGACCAAGAACTCTCTTCAGATGAGGTTTTTGAGAAAGAGTTTTTATTACACAAGCAAGATTATTACAAAAATAAGTTTGAGATGGAAACTGTAACAGAGTGAGTATTTGTGTTTCTGATGCTACAATATCTTAACTATGGACTACAGTAAATACCAACATTTTTTTGATAATTACAATGAAAATAGATTCTTTTATATACTGTACTATAAAATGTCTAATAATAATTCATTAATCTATTAGTAACCCTCCATTAATAGACCTTCCTTGAATTTGCTCCTTCGTAAAGATAATGCATGCGGATGGGTTGGGTTAAAAAAGATCAGGGGTGGACATTTGTCTATCCACTTGCGTTTCTGGCGAAGTGTTTTTACAGCTATACTGACTATATTCATTTAATAATTACTTCTGTTGGTGATTTAATGTTTGGATGGCTATACTAAATATAGGGGAGAATAGAGGGAAGTTATTCTGATTCTTAGTGTTGGTACAATCAATACCTTTTGACACTTTCAAATTCAGTTCTGAATGCCATTGTAAACAAACACTTAATTGTATCAAACGTATGAACATTTATTTGTTTTTCAGAGAACGTCTAGAGCAGCTTGTGAAGGACTATGTGGAGGCCCTGCAGTGGATATTGTATTACTATTATAATGGTGTTCAATCTTGGGCCTGGTGCGTTATGTTATTATTAAATATAGCATCCACTGATATTTAAAACAAAATTTTTTTTGTTATTTTTTTACTCTATTGACTTTAGCAAAACCTTATGCTATATTATGCACAGTTTTTTACATTGATCTTCTGTCTACTTCTACTGTTTATTTCTGCAAGCTAGATGCTTTATCTACCACATTTGTATACTTCGTTGATGTAGTACCACCCCCTCTTTATCTCTGATGTACATTATAGATGTTACTTATGTTTTGTATAGTCTTAAAAGTGCTGTTGTCATTTAATATATTACCGATATTCTAAAACTCTTAAACAATGTGATGATAAGCCGGGCAATCATTGCGTCGTACGACTGTCATTTGACAATCCAACTCCGATGCCTGTGAGTGATTGTCAGTGGGAATCTAAATGGATCGTCAATAAACACGGTCCGTTGCGGCACTGCGTTCTCCATAGAATCGCATTGGCCGCTGACCGCCGTGCACAGTAAGTGTCTTGCTTAAGCCATGGTGATCCACTATTATGTCACGGTTCATTTCTGTTTTTGGATAATATGTCCATCTTGAAACGTATTCATTCTATTACCTGGTTGTTGAAATGATTCCTGTTGTGGGTATGACGCATTAGTTTTACCATGGAGGTATTATTGAGAAGGAGATCACTCGGCAAAGCTACGCGCACGCAGCACTATGCAAATGAACCAAGATCAAAGTTGCCGCAGCGCGTAAAGAACGTTTGCGCGATGCCTTTGAAGTCCCATGTGTTCCCCGCCATCAAATTTTCAGGAGGCATAATTGACCAAAAAATTTAACATGACGAAATGGAGAGCACCTTCTTTTCCAAATGCGCACTACATACTGTCAATCACTATGGCTGCGCGAT